TATAATATATAAGTCCTTGATCTTTGATATTTGGAGTACAGTATAAATTATCAGATTTTTTGAAGCATCCTTTTGCACCCAAAGAAATGTTACATACAAAGGATCAGTCAGTAATTCTCTGGCTAAATTAACTGCTAGACAAAAACCCCAATAAAATAATGTAACTTCACTACACAATACAGCTATTGTCTAATATCTGAACTCTAGGCACTTAAATGTGCTTATACAACTACTGATTATCCATTTGAAGTGAGTCTGCAGAATGAAGCCACAATATTCAAAATCAGCATTTTCTATGCATTTGCTATGAATGCTAAAATTGATAGTGATATCTTCAGTGCTTCTATCTAACTTAAAGCCCTGCAAGATTTGTGTTTTCATCAATTTGTTGGCTTAGCATGAGGTATGTTTTCATGGAAGATACAGATTTATTTAGAGGAAACAGACACCTGAATTGTCAAGGTATTTATATACTTTGCTGTTTTCCAAGTGCTATTGAGCTGGTATTTTTCCCCAGATCATTTCTTACACTAAACATGCCTTTTTGTTCCACACTTCTGCCTTGGTCTGAGATATAGATAGGTCACAAACCCTCCCCTCAGTGGTTACACACATCTATGAACAAAAAGGAGTTGAAAACTCACATGGGTATTTAGAAGATTCAAGTATTCCAGGCTGTGCCAAGACTTAGACAGAGAGAGGAATGCGTGGCACTGGTGAAAAACTGGCGCTGGTGACATGAACCTGGTTCTCATTCTGCAATATTGCTCGGTCCGTGCCAGGAATATGAGGCTGGTTTTCCTTCTGTCCTGAGACAGGGAGCTGTCTGCCCCTGGCAAGGAAGAGATTATGGATACTCTGTGACCTCAGCACTGGAAAAGGAGAGCTTCAGGCTCTTATTCAACCTGAAGTCTAAGAGAGATAAATGGTGGAAAGGAGCCTTTCACATCCCAGTTCTCAGTCTGGGTCAACAGAGTTCCATCCAAGTTTGTTAACATTGCTGCTCTTGGGGGCTGGCAGCTGTGGGTTGGGAGGGGAGAGGCTTTCTGGTTGGAGTTATAAAGAACGAATGGTCACAGTGTCAATCTGTCCCCAGTTTAAAATCTCTGAACTGGGTGCAGATCAGGGGGCTAAAACATATGCTCATCATTATGAGCAGGACAGACAGAACTGGCTGAGCTCAGCTCAGGCCATCAGCTACCTTGAAATAAGTGCCTGATCAATCCTGTTGCAATTGTTTTAGGCATGAAGGAACTCTCCAACCCCTTAAGACTATTCTGACATTTTCTTTCCTGTACATTTCTTGGTTCTCTGGTGATCTTTGACTCAGCAGCTGCTTTAAGCTCTTTGTAGATATCTTTGCCACAGTCACTCATTAAAACTCTGTGCTCAGCAGTGGCATTAACAGAGAATGTATAAAATTACTTCATATGTTCTGGACCTTCCAAACAGAAAGCTGACCCTGCCCAAGTGTTGGAAACTGATGGATGTGCACCTGGGGTTGATGGCTCTCTGTGTCCCACATACCTTTGCAGCACAGTCAGACAACCACATTTCTTTTAGATAAGAACATTAGGCCATTCCCACAGAAATATGTAAGACAAAGCTGAAGTTCATAGGAGAGCTGGATGCCTGCTCAAAGAGTTGCCAAACCAGAACCTGTCATGTTTCAGATGAAGGAGAAATCCTTAAAACAAATTGAGGAATCACAAGAAGTCCTTCACTCCATACCACCATGTTCCTCAGTGTTTTCACCTAAGGCTTGATTTCTTTAAGCTTAGTCAAACATGGGGTACATACATCTGAACACCTTTTCCAGGGAGATAACAAAATGTGCAAACTCATAACTGAGATAATAAGAATGCCTAGCTCAACTATTATGCAGATAAGGAAGCAGACATCAGTGCAAATTCATTTCATTCTGATAATTAGATCCTGCTGACATTTTCTGTGGGAGTAAGTTGAGGAGAGCCAGTGATTCTAGCTGCTGTTCAGATACCAAGGAGGAATATGAATTAATTGCAGCTTGTCATAAAGAAAGGTGGCATGGAGCAATGCCTATTTCAGACATGACTATTTTCCAAAAGACTGTGAAGAATAACTTTATATCTGGGAAAAATCATTCTTTTTTAGCTTAACCTAATGGCTTTTGGGGGACCATGTTGTTCCACCAGCTAATCAAGCTCTATGGTACACCAAAACCAGGTCCTAACAAATTTCAGTATGCCAGAGGGGAATGGGGAGCTCTGGTGGGCCAATTTTGTGGTTTTAAGTGACAAGTTAGGGAGGCAGGAAGAGTGGTGCTGGGCACCAGGGGACCGTGTCTTCATGAAATTTCCTCTGCAAACTTTATAAGGACCTGTCTGCAACAGGAGCATGGCTGCAGCTTTAATCAGTGCAGCCTACAGTCATGTCTCTCCAGGGACAGAATGGCACTGTGACAATCACTTTCACAGTATTAGTTTTCTGTATGATCAGGATATTGTTCTAGTGGTTGCTTAGCTTGGCACATCACTGTGTCACCTCTCTGCTTTCTTTCTACAAGGAAAAATTCTCAAAAAGGGGTGACATTTTTTATTTGTATGATACTTGAGATCCATATGCAAAGACACTTCCAGGGGCAAGGGTTTTGTTGTTTAAAACCTTAAAGATACTGTGCAGGGTGCTTTTTTTTTTTGCTTTTTTTTGCTTTTTTTGGTGAAGCCATCAAAACTTACACTGTAAACACTACACTATTCCTTGTAACACCTTAGTCAGATAGTGTAAAACTGGGTGCGTGTTTAATTTGTTTGGAGTAGGACCTTTCAGCAGAAGGAATCTGCTGGGAGTCTTTGCAAATCTGAGCAAGGACAACGCAAAGACAGTGGCTGGCAAATTAGGCTGGTAAATTAGGAAGCAGCTATATTTTCTTCACATAGTTGCTAACAAAAGTATGTCTTGGCTGTCCCAGATGCAACAACATTTGTCTTTGCAACTGTATTCCAACAGCAGAATTGTGGCACAAATCTTCTTTCTTTTCTGTCTATGGATTAGAGAGATGACAACAAAAAAAGGCATGGAGGTGGTGATATGTAGCTTCTCACAAAGAACCAGGGAGCATGTCAGGAGAGAGGAAGAAGGCATCATCAGGGATACTCTCAGACTTTTCCATGCTGGGGCAGTAGAGATGCTACTGACCAGCCATGGCTGGGCTGGAAGGCCTCCAGAGTTCAGGAACAGACCCTGGATTCCCCAGAAGGATCCTGGACTCTCCCAGAATAACTAAACTTCAACATGAACACTGATTCAAGGTACTGGGGAAACTGAGGCAGAAATACAACTTTGTGCTTGATTGCTCTTATCATTTCTATATTTTATTTCTTGTGCTGCTAAATGAAGAACAACTATGATTTTAAAAACTCAATCCTTTCCTAATAAGAGCAAACCAAAAGTTATCTAGAATAATTTGAAAACAAGTTTAAAATGTGCCAATTTCTTTTTATGTCCCAAGTCCAAGGTACTGAATTTGACACACTTTCCAGCTGTCTTAAATGAAGCACAAGCAAACAGAAAAAATTCTTGAAAAAATTAACTTAGTATTCTTGCTGTTTAACTCCTTGGAGAGATCACTTCATTATAGTGTTGGTCCTTTTCTGTGAGAACACTGACTGTGCTTGCACAAGATCTTTAACTGGTTTTATTTGCAATGTTAAATCACTGAAGGGAAAGTTAAATACAGAAAGAAAAATTTCTGTGTGCAGCATTCTAAGGCATGTCTGCAATAGACAACCTCTGCTTTTTTTTCATCTGCCTGTAAATTTCTGAAGGTGGAATATTACTCTTGGGGCTCTGAAAAACTGTTTCACAGATGCAAAAAATTGTCTCTAGAATATTCACCATCATGTACACATTATCTAGTCACCTTGGATAGTAAACTTCACAAACATATTTTCATCTTTTTCATGCTAAGTTTCCTGAATGAAAGAAGAGTACATCACATTCCTTTGATTTGTAGCTTGTATGTTTTGTAAACAGCTTTGCCACAAAAAATCTGACAACACTAAGGTAACAGGACGTTCTTTTCAAAGTCCCTAGGCTTACAGTCTTTGCTATTATTTACACATATCAGCTCTGAAATACTGCAATTAGTAGGATGAATTTTGGAGGAACAATCAAGGCTGATTGTCTTGCAAGATGCAAAAGCTATTAGTGATCCTGTGAAGTATTAGGAATGTTGATCCTGCTTCACTAAACAGCTTGGCATTTCCAGCTCTTGCTTTTTACTGACAAAGCTATCAGAAATGGCACATTTGTCCCATATAATTGAAAAATAGCTATCTGCCTACTCAGAACTTCCTTTCATTTAGGTTTGGTGTGAGATATGCAAAGCATATTTATGCCTGGCATATTGGATTGTTAAATTCAATTTTCTAATGTCTGCCACTAGCTTGAGGGAAAATAACACACAGGTTCTTTCATGTACCCTGGGGACCATCAAGGAAAAACAACAGCCCCAGAAATCACTTGTGCTGCTCTGTTTTCAGGGCATTGAGGTTAAGAAGTATCTATGTCCTGAAAAAAACAATTACAAACACACTTTGAGACAGTCAGCTCCTGTAAATGCTTCAAAAGACAGTTGCATGAATTTTCAAAGGTAAATTTATGCAGATATTTTGCATGCCTATCCTGTTCTTACCTCAGGTGTGAGTCATGGCCACACTTCAGTTTTTTGTCTAAGCTTCTGATATGCTGCATCAGATCAGTACATGCAAATACAGGCATCTGCAAAGGATTTTAAAGGTGAGAGGCTCTGAATCCCTGTAACCATCATGGCCCCAACCCCATTTCAACCTGGCACAAACCACTCGAAGGAACGGTTTGATTTCTATCACTCACCACTCCACCACATCAGTGGGACTGGTGGCACATTCAGGAGAGAAAGCAAAGAGGATCAGAGCCCCATGGCAATAACCACATCTGTGATCCAAGTGCCGAGCAGATTCATCAGCTCAAACAGATGCTCAATTTGGGGTTATTTTTTACAACATTTTGAAGGCAACTGACTTGTTTGTGACAGTGCCCTATGCCACTGATCCCAGGCACTGCTCTTCATCATCCCTTCAGAAGGGTTTTTGCACCTCTCCAGGTTGAGACGAGTTTTTTCTCTCCAAGTACAGCATCTTCCCTAAACAATCAGGCAGAGGAGTCAGCACCCGTTGTTGTGTTTGAGAGGTGGTGATTCACTGCAGGGGGAGGGCAGGAGATGTTGTCAGTTCAGTACTGCAGGCCTGTGGCAGGACAGGGGGAGAAAGATAAAACTGGGATGAGAAAGGGAAAGTAAAACACATTTCCCATATGTGGAGATGAATTCTTCCCCTCTGGCCAAATCTACAATCACAGTGTAAACTCATCTGAGATTCATTGCCACCCATTCTACCACACCAGCAGCATGAGGCAGGACACGAAGACCTCAGAGCAGTTTCAGCAGTGTCTGTGAGGAAGCAGCTTCAGCTGTCCAACTGTCCCTGTGTTCTGAAGGGCCTTGGGGACACACAGCTGCCCTTGCCTTTGGTCTTCACTTTCTTGTCTCTCCCCTCCTGGCCTGTGCCTTGGTGGCCTTGGTGGCACTTAGCAGCTACAAAATAGTACTGGAGGGTAATGGAAGTTGGTTGCTGTGACAGACCCCTTTAAAATGAGGATATTTAGAAGAAAACATTCTGTTTCTTTTTGGAAACGTCTTTTCAGCTCCTGGGACATTTTTTTCAATGTACTTGGTAGTGTTTGAGGATGAGAAATTTATGAAATTTATGCTTCCTACTGGTATAGATGACAGCAAATCTCTATGGAGGGAAACAGCACACTATATAGGCTCACTAGTGAGGCCAAACTCATCAAGTACTATGTTTTTGGGGACATTTTTTCCTCTGAGCTCTCTGCTTTAATGAATGCCATAACACCACCTCAGACATCCCCTGCCTCCTTTTCTCCTATTTTACCTCAGATCTTGCTATACTCCCTCACTGCTGCATGCATTCAAAGTCATTCATGTACATGGATCCAAAGAGATCCACAGGAGCTGTGCACCTGGCCCATTAGGCACTCAGGTGGCCTGAAAATCCAACCCAGGTGTGCAACACCTCTATGGAGCCTTGTAGGATGTGCCTTCAGGGTCAGACCCACCAGCTGTGAGAACAGCCACAAACACAGCCATGACACTGGTTCCTACAGGCAAGGCACCACTGTGCACACACAGGCAGTATGATTCTGGGGCAGAAGGTTGTAAGGCCTCTCAGATGCAGGCTGAACTCAGTCCTTAGCTTTTCCACCACACCATTTTTTCCCGTATTGCATGGTGCCTACTGCAGGAGGAGCAATCAAGGTATGAAAACGTAGCTAAGTGGAGTGCAGATCTGATGATCTCCATCATCAGATGCTAAGATACAATTTTTTTTTTTAAATCATGCTTTTAAGGTGCTTTAGAACTCACAGGAGTCTTTTTCTGGTTATTATGCTGATGCAAAATGATGTGAAATAGGCTGTTGTTTCACAGCGATGTTAAATAGGATCCTGCCTGTACCCCAGAGAATCCTGAGTGGATTCAGAAAAAAGGCAGCGCAGAGGGAAATGTGACATTCCAACCTATCAGTTAGGATATTCAGATGAGAAGGGAGAGGACAGCCTGCTTGTTTTTGCTCCCTACACTATGTCTATAGTTTACACAAGTATTGAATAAATGAAAAAGCTGCTTCTGGAGCCTGAGTCACACAATTTGTCAAGAGGGCCGGACCCACACACATCTTTCCACCACTGTCTTCACACCACTTGAAAAGGAGTGAGTAAATCCCATGTCATCCCTGCTGCCTTTGACTTGACATCTCCAAACTCACACACTGACCTTTTATTTTACTTTAACTCTTTGAACTTTCAAGGAAGAGGTTCAAGGGCAGGATCTGGTCTACCAAGCTTGGTTAACCCTGCAGTCATACCACCCAATCAAGGCAGAAGTCAAACTGAGTTGCCCCAAGCAGCAGTGATAAAAGGAAATTTAGTATAAAAGAAGTGATGATGGTCAGGAGTGCTACCTAGGGTGGGATAAAATCTATCTAAGGATACATTAAAATATAGCCAAAAAGAATATAAGTTTCTCCTTTCCCTTCTCCTTGAATGTGCTGAGGTATTTAAAATAACATGTTTCAGGGAGCTAGAGATTGTGTAATAGGTTAGTGCTTAGGGAATATAACCTGAGAACAGAAGTAATGGAGAAAGGGATCCTTAAACAGAAAAGGTTTGAGGTTGTTAGCAAACAGCACAGTGACATACAGGACTAGCTGGGGGTGGGAAGGAGCTCTCTGACTGCTGTCATTATTCTGTGCTTGAGGCCATATCTTTTGCTTTGAAAATGGCCCACACAGGAGCACTACCCCTGGGTTCCCAAGTCTAGAGAATTTCTCTCTTCCTGTAATTTAAGTAGCCACTCTACCTGTCAAACTGAAATCTCCAGCTCATCCAGCTCATTGCACACCATCACCATCTTCTTTCTGTGAAATACAAAACTGATTACAAATGGTGATTTTCACATGAAAAGCAATTAAGACTATCTTTCTTCACCTTATTTATTGCTAACTACTGAGCTAGCCTAATTCTACCATAAAGTAACCCTGATGATCTTCTTCATAATTTAAAATATATGTTTGGTCCCTTCTGAATATGTGCAGTGTCATCTTAAAGAAGAATGAAAGATCTTGATTATTTTTTCCCTTTGTGCTGTCAAGTGCTATTTATACGTTTATTTCTGTATTCCTGCATGCTCTCTTCAAATTCAGAAAAGAGCAGCACGTGCTTCCCTTATTTCAGCATCCCAGCCTGCTTGTCAGACCTGATGCTGCACAAGAGACGGGAGATGTATCTCCCCTCAAGACATCCAACCTCCCATTAACTGAAGGAGAGCTCTCTCTTTTGCAGAGAGGAAGGGGGAAAGTATCTTTTAACTACATGGGAGGAAAACATAGCCTCAGCAGCCCACAGTAACCTTCTGTACTTATATCAGCCACCTGGCACTGACATCTTACACTACTACAGGAAAGTTGTTGCAGGATATGAAGAAAATTGCTTGCCTATACCACTGGCTTTTGCTGTATTAAGATAACTCACTGGGCCTGTGCAAACCATGATGCCGACACCAAGGTTTGTATGTGTGCAGAACTCACTTAATGGCTTCGGCTGGTTTAATGATCCCTGACAAAAGGAAGGCTTTTAGCTAATAAAGGGGGGAAAGAACTTTGAAGGCATTGAAGAGAAGGAAAGTAGAGGGCTTGCTCTTTACTGGTCCTATCTCCAGTGAGAGAAATATGCTCTTTATCAAAAATACTCAGTAAAGGATTTCTTGCAGGAATTACAAGAGCACACAATTTCCTACTTGACATTTTACACCTAGAAATGTATTTGCATGAAGGTGGATGTGTCATATGTGCTATCCCAATAATGGAGAAGTACTGTTCAGCTTAATGAAAAGCAAGCATAAAAGGTAACATACAAGAATAAACCACTGCTCACTTACAGCTCCCTGCCCTGGAGAGGCCATGGCTGCAGCTTCCTTCCCTGCTGTCTATTGCATATTTTAGAAGGGGCAATTTGCAACCTAGAAACGGATGTTCTGAGTGAAAAGAAAAGACCCTGAAAAACTGAGGCTGGAGTTTTGTTTCTTTGGTTGTGAGGCTTATGAAAAAGAAATCTTTCTGCTTTAGAGAATTTTGCTCATTTTTTGGAGGAAAAGTTGAAGAGATTTTGCACCAGGCTAGGAAACAGTAAAAAGTTTCCTACTAAAAAGTAAGAAAGAATATGAGGTACCTTGTATCAAATGAATATGTTGCAGAATTAGCAATCCTACCATCAAACCAAGGCCAGAGAGACAGCACAGATAACAGTTATTTACCTATGCCACAGGACCTGCCCCAAAATTTGTTCTGGCTGGTCTGAGCCCTGTAGGTGCTGTGTGATCATACTAAAGATGACCTGTCCCATAACCTTGCCAGGCACTGGGATCAGGCTGACCAGCCTGGGGTTTCCCAGATGCTCCTACTGGCCCTTCTTGTGGATGGGTGTCACATTGGCCACCTTCCAGTCATGCAGTGAGCTCCCACTCACTGGGACCTCCCCAGTGAGCCAGGACTGATGATAAATGATGGAGAGCAACTTTGCAAGCTCATCTGCCAGCTCCCTCATCACCCTGAGATGGATCCCATCTGATCCATAGATTTGAGACCATCTAAATGGCTCAGCAGGTCTCTAACTGCTTCTTCCTGGATAACAGCAGAGCTACTCTGCTCCCTGACACCATCTACCAGCCCAGGAGGACAGCTGTCCTGAGGATAGCATCTTTTTGTTAAAAACTGAGGGAAAGAAGGTGTTAAGTATCTCTGCCTTTTCCACACCTCTAGTAATTATATTTCCCCCCATGTCCAATAAAGAATGAAGGTTTTATTTGCCCTTTCTTTCTTTGGCCCTTAATGTATTTTTAAAAACATTTTTCATTCTCCTTTACAGAAGTTGCCAGACTAAGTTCTAATTACGCTTTCACCTTTCTAATTTTCTTTCTTCATGACCTAATGGCATTCTTAAACACTTCCTGAATTGCCTGCCCCATTTTCCTAATGTGATGCACTCTCTTTTTTACCCTGAGCTCCTACAGCCTGGTCATCTTCCCCACCAGCTCACCTTTCAAAACATAGGGACAGTCTGTTCCTGCACCTTCAAGATTTCTGTATTGCAGCACGTTCATCCTTCCTGGACCCCTTTGTTTTTAAGGGCTGCTTCCCAAGGAACTCTCCAAATAAGTCTCTTGAACCGGTCAAAGTCTGCTCCCCAGAAGTCCAGTGTGAAAGATTTATTGATGCCCCTCCTTGCTTCACCAAATATTGAGAACTCTATCACTGTGCCCCAGAGGGCCTCCAATCCCACATCTCCCACCAGCCCATCTCTTTGCAAACAGCAGGTCTAACATAATTCCTCCCCTGGCAGGCTTGCTCACCAGCTGTCACAAGAAGTTGTCCTCCACACACTCTAAGAACCTCCTGGACTGTCTCTTCTCTGCTGTGTTGTGTTCCCCGCAGATATCTGTCAGGTTGAAGTCACCTACAAGAACAAGGGCTGGTGATCTTGAAATATCCTCCCGTATCTTATAGAATAATAATGCATCCACCTCTTCATCCTACAGACCTGGGTTGTCTGTGACAGACCTTCACCAGGTGGTCAGCCTTGTTGGCCTTCCCCATGATTCTTGCTGATAGGCACCAACTTTATCATCATCAACCTCAATTCCCACGGAGTTGAGAGCCTCCCTAACACAAAGAGCCACTCCTCCACCTCTTTTCCCTCTCCTGTCTCTCCTGAAGAGCTTGTATCCATCCAGTGCAGCGCTCCAGCCACGTGAGTCATCCCACTGTGTTTCCGTGACAGTGGCAGTGTCATGGCTTTCCTGCTGCACCATGGCCTTCAGCTCCTCTTGTTTGTTACCCGTGCTGTGTGCACCAGTGTACATGCACTTCAGCTGGGCCACTGATTTCACCTCTGACTTACCACCCTTGGGCTCATCTCTGGAGGGCCTGGTTTCATCCCATTCCCCCTTTAAAGCCCTCTCAACCAGCCTTGCCACCTCAGGGGTGAGAATCCTTTTGCCCTTGCTAGAGAGATGAAGGATAAGAGTCTAGCAGATCTGATGCTGTAAAAATTGCCCCATGTTCAAAAAAACCAAAATTGTGCTAATGGCACCAATCCTTAAGGCACTTATTGGTTACATGGGTTTTCCTGTTCCATTCATCATTCATACCTGCTACTGAAGAAAGTTAACAGAATACTACCTGTTTAGGGGACAGAGAAGTTGGAAGATAAACTGTTTTTTCATATGACAGGTTTTACATACAGCCCATCAATCTTGTAAAAAAGCTTTTCAATTTTGGACTGAGGTTTTCCTCGTCACTTATTTCAGTCTGTCTTTGCTAGCAGTGGTTTGATGTGATCAGTCTCTGTCATGTTTCTGGACGGGCTGACTCAGCTTCCTTAGAAGAAATAAGTAATTTAAAGAAGGAGGAAGGGAAGACCACCCTCTCTGTCACCGTCATGCACCTAAAGATGCAGAACAGACTCTGTCATTACCTGCTGATGTCAGTTTCTGGTGCTGCAGTGCATTTTTCCAATGGGCTGATTATAAACTCTGTAGTGAGGTTTCCTTTCTCAGAACCAGAGGTCATACCCCATTTCTCAGAACTAGAAGACATATCCTCTCACCAGAAGAGGATTTGACTCTCAGGCTTTACTCTCACTTTTAGTTTTTGACCACCATCAAAAACAGGATGCAAGATGAAAAGGATTGTCATTTAAATCAAAAGACTGTTTGTTACAGTGAAGCACGAAAAATAAATCAAGAACAGCTAATGCCTATGCCTCAACAGCATTGTTTTCCATGCAGAGTTTTTATTTATTCAGCAACTCTTGCAATTACCAAAGAGAAATCTGCAATTCACTTTATAACCCTGCCATTAGTTCTCAGTCCTATCCAGCAATTACTTTCCACACCCCTGGTTTCCAATGCACACTGACTGCTGAGTGTGTGAGGAGGCTGAGCTGGTGTGTTCTGCTCTCTGCTTTCTTCCTAGGTTTGACAATCTTGCTTTTGAGATGAAAGCATCTGATGCATCTAAGATGCAACCTTTGCTCATCCATTCATCTTTGACAGCTGCTGTATCATTTGGCCCCGGGGTCCACGTTTCCAATATATCCTAGTTTCCAGAGCAAACTAGTCTCATTCTTAGTGCTTCTTGTCAGATTATTTGGTAATGCCTCTGCTTTCTGCATATTCTGTGCCTGAGTTCTTTTTATTTTTTGCTCTTCTTTAAATAGATATTACCTTTTGGCTTTTCTTCAGTGTTTGCCACAGTTAATGATGTGACCAAGAGCTAGAGCCTCATTTTTCCCATTAGATCTCCCCTTACCTAGGGTGCCTCTGATCTTATTGCACTCTCCAGTGGAATAGCCTCTTTAATGTCATTTGGGACCATATTGATAAAAAGATACCATTATCAGATGTGGCATTGTGCACATCTTTTCATTTCCTGACACCTGCATTTCGGTTGCTGCCATTTTCCTTCCTTGTGCATGTAAAAACCTCACAGAATTTTTTTCAAATGTAAATTTTATGGCTCTCCAGTCCTCCCATGCATCTCCCTGTGAAGCCAATCGCACTGGGTAGGTAACTGCTCCCCTGTTCATGTACACACTTTTCCCTTCCTTTCTTGGATTGTCTCTGCAGTAGTTTCTTTGTTCATTTTACACTAAAGTCAAAGTTGACAGACACCCAAAATTATCCATAGATCATGAGAATCCCAAGAGTGATGTTGCATATTCAGGCCATATGGTATGCAATGCATCCAGCATTAGGGAATCAATTTCAGGGGAACACAAGATCAGCTTGCTAAAAGGTAATTCAGCACAATTTCATGCTCACCCTCTTCGTGCTTGTACACTCATTTTCTGAAAGCTCAGAT